ACAAAGAGAAAAATTCGAGATTTCCCACTTGGAGAGAGCATTTTCCGGATTTTTCAACTAGAGATGTACATAGAAATTACGTGGATTGCGTACAATGGTTTGGAAATTTTTTATTATCAAAATCATGTGAGAACGAAATAGTTTGCTGGAAGCGAGGAGATCTAGACGATACCGTTTTAAAACCAAATGACACAACTGCAACAGTATTGCATCGTTTTCCTATAAAGGACTGTGATATATGGTTCATTCGTTTTGAATTCAATTTCTCACATAAAATGATGGCTTTGGGGAATCAGCAAGGAGTAACTTATGTTTGGGAAATGGGTGTAGAAGATCCACAGTCGACAAAATGTCACATGTTAGCACATGCCAGATGCAACACAGCAATAAGACAAACAACATTTTCCAGAAATGGTAATGTACTGATCTGCGTTTGCGATGACGGCACCATTTGGCGTTGGGATCGCAGAAATGATTAATTTTTCACTAATTTAGAATTAAGTGCACAATTGGATGGATTTACTGTTTAATTTTGACTGTGAAGCAGCGCTCACTACTTTTTTATATATACTATTACTTAAGATTTTCTTCATTTAAGTTTTTAATTTACTTTTTCAATTTTATTATTCACATTGCATACATTTTTGTTTTTTTGAATTATTAACGTCTAAAACGTTATTTAACTTAATCAGTTAAATTGATTATTTAATCAATTGATTAAAGTGATTGATTAAAAAGTAATTTACTATAGAAAATAAGTCTTACATAAACAAATTTTGCATCGAATTTTTCATCTAAGATAATGCATTTCAAAATTATAATATCGCAAAAATCTCATTTTATAAATTACAATTGAAATTTAAATAAATGAGAGTTAAGTACAAATATTTATATATGCATTCTCACTGATATTAAGCTTTAAATCTGTGATATGTGGTAAGTAATTTAGGAGTTCACACTTAAATAGTTAGTAGTTGGTCGCTTAAAATAAGAGTTCCTATTGGTCTGTTGAGCTTTATAAGAGACGAAAAGTTTTGTGTCGACTAGCTAGCTATAAGAGGTATCTAATAGCGTTTCTTCCATTATAACTTCCGTAATAAAAATATTATATCTCTATGATAATATAATATTCGTTAAGTTAATAATCACGATATGATTTAAGTATTCAAAAGTTGACAACGGCAATAGCAGCCTCAATACAAATTATTATCAAGAATAAAAAACAATTTGATAATATTACAACAGCTGTGTTGGTTTTATGACTCGTGAAACCACAGTCCATGGACACAGTAATAGAAAAAAAAATATTGAGGTTGGAACTTTAAAGTTATCTTTAAATTTACACATATAAATAATAATGATATAAATTTTATTAGGTACAAGCACTTAAATAAACTTTTACATCCGCCCAAACATTGTATGCCATATAGAGAGTGTGTCTTTTGTCTAACATCCTGTCCCGGCATTACAAACTATAAAATCGATTATCGATTGCTATTGAAGATCATAAAAATATGTTTATGAAATCCATCTAAGGTCTCTTCCATTGAACGACAACTTGTACAGTTGAATGATGCCTCCGGCCAAACATATCACATAAACAGTAAAGCGCTAAACCCTCTTTGTAGCCAAGAACCACAATCCTAATCTCAAACTTAATCTTAATTTTATATTAGCAACATTGTTGATATGCTTTAGTTTAGGCCTATGAACTTTAAAAATAAAAATTGCTTTATTTACTTTCGAGACAAATTTTATGATTTTATTAAAGAAATCCTTTGAATGTAACCAAAGGTGTTTTCGTCATTTGTGTTTTACTCGTATCCTTAGCACTCTCATCTAATACAAAAGTATCCTTAAGCATTTTCCTAGTTGACGAAATGTAAAATTGTGGCGCTATTAACACCACCACCTGTCATTATCCATGCGGATAGGGGAGCAGAGAGGCAATCATGGTTGTTGGAAACGCTTTAAGTTTAGAAACTGAAAAATAAATAATACAAATAAAATCCTTTATCCTTCTTTAGATATTTCGTTTTATGCTTCTTCGTTCGTTTAAACAAACTGGAAAATGTAGTTCAAGTAAACATAATGAGTACATGTGTACGCGCATCTGATTTCCATAGGAAAACCCTCCAGTTATCAAACGCAATTTATCACTCATCAAAGTCGTATCACTTTCCATCAAAGCTGCACTTGAAAAAATATATGAAAATAGAAGATAACTATTTTTCATTAAATAATACAGAAAACTGAGAAGCTGACTTTCAGTAATAATAACTATTATCAGAAACCTTTTCTTTGCGGTTAATAACAAAAACTCTAGCATTAATATATATCACTAAACTGTGTCAAATATCATAGCTAACCACAGGAAGTTTTTAATATATTATTGTTATATTTGAATATTTATTAATTGGGTTATTCGTTTGAAAATGTTAGTAAATTGACGCTTCCAGTAGCACCTATCATACTAAAAACACACGAATATACCAATGTACATTCACCTTATATTCCATCACAAGTAGTAAGATACTTGCTCGTATCACACATTTGGTGCTAACTAAATGTGTCATTAAAAGTTTACTGCAGAAAGTGATTTTGCAGCAGAGCAGGGGAAGCAGAAATATTTTCCACTTTTAAGGATGTAGACGAGACCACATATCAAAATTGAAACATCACAATTTGTTGACATGAGTTCCAATTTATTACAAAATACTGCTCACATATATCGTCTGCTTTGCATAGTGATTCTTCCCAGACTTCGAAGTTATTTTTCCGGACAATACAGATGAAATGAATTTTTAAATATTATTTCTGTCATTATTAGTTCGTTTTTTCCTTTCCTTTTCTTTTTTTATAGCGATTACTTTACCAAAAAAGAACAACAAAAACAATTATGGAGCAATTATGGAAATGAAGTAATGGACCTCGAACTGTTTCTCAATTTCCATTTTAATTAGTAGAAATGAGCTTAACAAGTGCTTAATTAAATATTATTTAAAGATACATTCACTTTGCGCACGTAATTTTGAGTAATCGAGCTACTAACTCAATACGATAAATTTTAAACGAAACTTCAACTTAAATTCCTCATCTGAAACATTCTTTGAAATTCTAGTGACTTAGAATTTGAATAAGCAACTTACCACAAACTATTAATTAGGGATTAAAAATATTACCAGAACTATATTAACCATAGTTATAAAGTGACGAAGTCTATTAAAAGTAATTTCATTTGATTACTCGCATAACAAATGATTAGTTTTTTGCTATTGTTGGAACCGGAGAGTTTCCTCTAAGAGAGACCACGTCCAACCGCTGGAACGTGGTCTCCAGTCAAATTTGACAGTAAAGTCTGCCTAGAAACCAGACCATAGTCTATATGGTTTGTTTTACTTGTTTCCATTTCATATTATTAAATATTGCATTTAAATTCTAATTAAAGGTCTGTGAAAAAAATTTTTTAGTTTAATTACTTTGTTTTCAATTAATTTCTTTTTTTTTATTTATATAATCGAATTGATTATATGATTTTGTATGTATTTATATATTGACTACAATTGCGTTGCAGTTATATATATGGCTGCAATTTATTCAATAAATGCCAGTTCATCCATAATTGGTACCTTCATTTACAACTGTAACTTTCCATTTAAAAGATTGAATTTCAGATATTCTTAGTAGTCCTTTTTAAAAAGTTTCGACCCATTAATTTAGATGAAAACTTGAAGGGAGCAACCCAATTAGTTGATTCAGAATAATCTTGATTGAATAGAATTGAATAGAGGGATAGATGGGTAAGTAAATATGCGAAATATGTGTATGCGATCGCATAATAGAGACCATATGTGTGACGAAATTTCTGCATATGCACAAGTGATTAATTTTATTTGCTTAAAATGGGACGAAATCAGCTTTAAAGCGCACACTTTGTATGGTGTTTGTATGGCAGTTCAAGTACAGCTGGGATCTTTAGTTCAACTAGAGCAATGAGCAGTGAGCAGTGATGACACCCAACAAGTGGGCGTTGGCATTGGTGTTGATGGACAAATTATATCCGCTTCGCATGCTGTATTGCAATTTACTGCACATAAACATAAAAACATAAAACATACAAATTATCATTTTTACACATTGTTCTTGTTATTGTTTTGTATCGAATTGATGTTGATGTTGATGTTGATTAATTTATTTATGAACATTATTTCTACTTGGCATTTGTCTTCATAGTGGTTTCATGGAAAGTTGGAATCATTTTTCACATTGGCGCACTTTAAACAATACCACGAGCAAAATGGTTTACAGTAATTGTAGCGCAGAGTTCGAATGCAGTGTGAATTGAATGGGTCCGTCGTATGGTATATCCCACACACAGCAGGACCAACAGACACTAACAGTAGCAGATTAACCTTACTTTTCTGCAAAGGGGGTGAGAAGTAAGCAGTATATGTTCTTATTTTGAACTGTTTTTATTTTTGTATTTCATTGTATTTGTTAACATTCAAGCATCGGAACGCATTCAGTTCCAATAATCCAAATGTTCCCTATTTTTTCTTAGGTGGATTATAATAAATTATCGCTAAAACTAGAACTCCGATTTAATTGAACATCACTTTAACTTTACATTAAAGAAGTTTGGGAGAAAAATTTGATAACTTGATTGGTTTTTCGTTTCTGACGGATGAAAAACATCAAAATGGAGGCTTTTGAGATTAGAGATTGCAGCCCATTAAGTCCATTTCTTGGGATAAAGTATTAATGACTAATATTTGATTCCAGTAACTGTAGGCAAACGATTCATGTAGATGATTTCAATTGCAAAGAATAGGTAGTCTAAATAGATACCTATGCATATGAATATTATTTTACAGAATAACATAATCATCATTAATTAATTGATATCTAAAATGTGAAATTTTATTCCACAAAGAGAATCTTGCTTTGCTCACAGCACGGCTTATTGTTGTTGGAGTTGTACTCGACTGTTGCAATGTTCAAGTGCAAACTTGGTTATGTGCATATCTGGAAAGGGTGGCAATGGGTTGCACAACTCGTTGTCAATTATTCTTGATAAGCTATAGCACATATTGTAATAAAATTGATTAAACTGAAATATTTCACAAAAGCCACTTTTATATTAAAAGGTAATTTAAAGAGTTTATTTTAGCTAATCAATCCTTATCTTCATCCAGTAAACTCAGCTTGAAGTGTTATGGGAAAGGGTTTATCAGGATTGCCTGTATGCTTCCTCTGTATGCTAATTTAAAATTCTGTATAAAGTTATTAAATAAGTTTGATCCAATATTCAATACTTTAAAAAAAAAATGATAATAGATAAATATACCCAATGCATTTTCATAAAAATATTCAGAAATAATACAATGGCAGCAGTTAACTCAAATTATCCAGACATGTATGCAATTTAAGACAGTTGATAAATTGTTTTAAAAAATTAAAAAATTACAAAAAATTAGAAACAATTTTTATTTAATTCCATCCTTAACAAATGCCGCAAACGTACAAAATGAAAAAATGCCTTCCAACCCCAAAAACTCATATCATACACTGTTTTTGTTTTGCCTCTCTATTTTGACATTCCTCATTGTGTTCATATCCATACATATTCATACAACAATTAAATACATTCCACTGGTTGTTTACATTTTTAGTAGACATTCACAATAAAAAGCCGCATAGAGTTAACTAGTACTCATGTGTTATCACATAGACTATATTAATAAAATCATTTTATATATATAAGTTTTTATAGTCTTAAAATGAAATTTATTGTAAATATAATTATAATTTGTCTTTTCAGTTGTGAAAAAAATGCAATGTCATTCTAATTCATTGTGAACAATTTTGCCATATGCTGATTTACGTTCCATTTTGCACATACAGTCCACAATACTATTCTCAGACGCTATGAAATGATTTCAATTTAGTTCGGTTTGTGACTATGCTGAGGTAAAGACGTTTGGTACGGTAGAATTGTACGTCGTTGTGTTATTTAATTGTTATTAATATTAATAAAAATTATTGAAAATATGTTTTAAAATTGTTTGTAATTGTGAAAATAAATAATTTAAGTATTATTGCAAAAGATTTGTTGTGAAAAAGTGTTTGTTTCATACATAATAAAGCAATAAAATTCATTAAAAAAAGGCTATTAAAAGCAGCTACACGAATTATAATTCTTGTCTTATGTTGAGTTTGTGCTTGTGTTCGTTTGTCGGTGTTTATTTTTAAATTATTATTTACTTGTGAAGAGTTTTAAAAATATTTAGCTTATGTTCAAGCATACAGCATAAATAAAATATTATATTAAGAATTTCAAACAAAAGTCATAACTATAAAATATGTGCATTATTTTGTAAAAGCGCTCAAATGCTTCGATTCTAAAGATTGTAGAAAGCGAATTAATAATACGTCAGCAGCACAGCATCCCGTCATGACGCTGTGGCCGGTTTTGTTATGTTTTGGTGTAAAAATGTTCAAAATCAAATGTTTTTCAATTTCACGTATAAAATATGCAATATTAGTGTTATTTTTGTTCGAGTGTGGAGTTTTATCGTCTGGTGCTGACTTAACTACCGTCGTGAAAGCTACCAGCAAGCAGAGGCATCATCAGCCGGAGGAAGATTGGATCTTTCTTAGAAAGCAAAGTAAGTCGAAGTTGGCCATAATCAAGTTAACGTAACACGCTTTAGCGGAAGATAAAGTGGAATTTGTTTCTTCTTATATAAATAATATGAAATTATAAAAATTGAAAATCCAGAATACGGGTTTCTTAAAAGAATGAAGATGGATTAATTTCGATTCAAAATTTTGTCTATTAAAATCTATTATTTCTTGATGTGAAGTTAAAATCTCTTAAGAGATTTCAGGCTATCTTTCAAATCAGGCTATTCTTTAATAACCAATTTTTATAATTTGTATTAACTTGCTTATGCTTATGTTTATTTGTATTAACTTTATATGAAATATATTTATAGAATCTTTAGAACCTTACAAATTAAATATGTTGTAAATTTTGAATAATTCAGTAAGTAACTTAATATATCATACAACAACATAACTTCGTACAAATTATAAACATACGCATACTGGATATTTATCTCCTCTGGTAACGAGATCAGTAATCGAATAATTTGATTACACAGAACTGTAGCCAAGAACATAATACATACACACGAAATGTGTTACTAATGCAGTGTTAATATTTTACTCGATTATGGATCTCATTATGCGATATCGTGAATACCCCTTAACATTTTATTCTCTTCTTTGGTACCTATTTCCCTGACAATTTTCTTTATTTTTGATATCTGATGATTAAATTAGGTTAGATTGAAGTGGAAGTCTTGTTGAACAAAGCTCACTGAAGCATAATTAACTGATGGTAAAACGTTTCGATATAACTGATGAGACGCTGTCCATACGTCTGATCTGAAGAATTTTTTTAAAGATAGAAGTTCCAAACATTTAGCGTACGAACAGCGTCACTGGTAGTCCAAGATGTTATATAAATTTTTGGGTACTTGGTAATTTTTTACTTGAGCATTTTACGGGAACAAAGCTTGAGCATTTTAACAGAAAGTTTAAGAAAATCTTAACTGTTCTTTTAAATACATAAATAAATTTGAACTATTTAGATAGATATGAATTTTTTTTATTTTATTTTCGATACTCTGAGCTTAATTGGTAGGCTTCATTCTAGGCTCAGTCGTTATGTTTCTTGCCAGCGAAATGTGAAGATTGCATGTCTGCGCTATATAAAAACATCGCTGGTAATTTGGGCATTACATGAGTTTAATTGGGAGTTAACCAGAGTGTAGGCCATTTGTTAACATTTAAAATGCGATATTTCAAGCTGTGGCAATAAAAATGCAAACTGAATGCGAAAAGCAGAAATGCAATGCGGATACGCGATGTGGCTGTTAAGGTTGTTAAGGTAAACATGGAAGAGTTTATAACGCGGACATTAACCCGCAATTCAAATAAATTCTTTTTATTATTCTCGTTTTAGCTGCAGCCGCTCTTGCAGTGCGAAGGCGCCATTTTTCATGCGAATTGTAAAAAACAATAAACAAATTTGTTAAAAAATTTGTAATAAATAAAAAATTTATTAAAATTTTGTTCATGTTGAGTTTTATTTAGTAGTCATTTTTTATTTCAGACGTTTTTATTTTTTTTTTTTTTTTAGCAAATATATCTAAATTT